GAATTCGATCCCTGCGTCGGGCTACGAACTGTCAGTGAGTAGGCTACTCTCTCTCTGTTCCTCCCCCGCTAACCTGCTCTCTCTCTAAATAAAAAAATAAACTTAAAAGAGAGAGAGAGGTGCTATTTCAACTCTCCCTCTCCCACAGAATGGGCTCCTTTTGCATTGGCTAGGGGGCAGGTGCCTGGGGCGGGCAGGGAGGGGATGGGGCTGCAGAAGGAGGCGGCCCCTCCGCTTACCGCTTGGCTTCCTCCAGCCGGCACAGGTACTGATAGGCCACGTTCTGCCGCCTCTGCTCGTCCATTTCCTCGGCTGTGAGGCGTTCATCTGAGGAGTCAGGGGGATAAGGTCAAGGCGGGGCGTATAGGACAAAGGGCCATGGCACGGAAGCTGCTTCTTAACAGACTTTCTTAGGCAACTCTGCCCAGTGACCTGGATCACCTCACACGTCGGTGCCCCTCTTCCCGACAGCCCTGGCTCCCATCTCCAGCCCCCACCCCGTAAAGCCGCTCTGGTCAGCACCTGCAACAGGGGGCTCCCCTGTGTCAGAGGTGTTCCCTCCTGTTCCTCTCCAGCCGGCTCCTGACCCCTCCTTCCCCTCCATTTCAAGCCCTTCCCTCGAGGTCTCCCCACACGGATGTCCAGACCCCTCCGTGGCTGGGAACTTAGCTCCTTATTCTATCCCTAATAGCCTCTGAGTTCTCTCAGACCTGGGCCCGTGTCATCCTCCCCAAGGACCCTCCCAGAGACTTAGGCTAACAGGACCAACGGGACTCACCATCCCACAGCCACTCATTCACATGCTACCTTCTGCATGTCAGGCCCTGGGCTAGCAGACCCTTACTCTCAAGAAACAGATTCTCAGGGCGCCTGGGTGGCTCAGTAGGTTAAGAGTCCCACTCTTGATTTCGGCTCAGGTCATGATCTCACTGTTTGTGAGATCGAGCCCTCCAGGCTGATAGCGAGGAGCCTGCTTGGGATTCTCTCTCTTCCTCTCTCCTACCCCTCCCCTGCTCATATACATGCGTGCTCACACACGCTCTCTCTCTCAAAATAAATAAACTTTAAAAAAACAAAGAAATGGGGCGCCTGGATGGCTCAGTCGGTTAAGTGTCCAACTTCAACTCAGCTCATGATCTCATGCTTCATGAGTTCAAGCCCCACATCAGGCTCTGTGCTGACAGCTGGCAGCCTGGAGCCAGCTTCGGATTCTGTGTCTCCCTCTCTCTCTGCCCCTCCCCTGCTCGCTCTCTCTCTCAAAAAATAAACATTAAAAAAATTTTTAAGAACAAACAGGCAGAAAGGGGCAGAGGGGGAGGTAGTTCAACAAAGGGAATCGTGGAAAAGGACAATCACTTAGGACTAAGTGGAAAGAGAGAGAGTCTTAAAAGATCACAAAGCTATCTTTACTCTCCTTTCTGGTATAAGTCACTTGAGGAGGAGAATAATCTCCAAGCTCAATAAAATGCAGATAATACTCTGACCCCAAACTTGAGAACCGGGGTCCCTTAAGTGAGAGAGCACACGTATTGTGCCCTCCCACAGCCCCCCTCCTCCTGTCCCCCACCTCTGGAGTCTCCTTAGGGAAGACAATACAAAACCAGACGCGGTGAGACAAAGTTGCACGTGCACACACACAAGAAATAAACACAGAGGGCCTGAAAAGAGACAGAGCTGAATCAGTCTGTCTTTGACTCAACACTTCATGCCAATCCTACCCTCATTTCCTTATCGTGCACATCCTGCAACATGATTTGGAGGAGGGGCAGGGCTTGTTGGAACCGGCAGTTGAGCAAGTTAAAACACACACACACACACACACACGCACAAAACCTCCGCGTTCAGATCCGAAAGGCCCAGCCAATCATAGGAAATCCATCGGTTCCCTCCAGGGAGTGTACAAGGAACAAGTGTTGGCTGCTAAGCACGGAAAATCGACCAGTAAGCGAATGACATCACCTCAGAGCCCCGAGCTGAGGGCTGTGTGAGATGGGCGGGGCTTTGTACACTCATGGGTCTTAAAAACAGTCTTCCTGCCCTTCCAAGGTCTGAAACTAGCTTCCCTTCAACAGAACGGGGAACGGGGACTTTGTTTTTTGAACGCTAACGGCAAGGAAGGGGAAGAGGCGGAAGAAGGAGATTTCGCCTTTCATTCAGAAGGTCAAACAGAAACCTTTTTGCCACCACGCCTCCTGACCCCGGTCTCTTTCTCAAGCAGTGTATTTGCAAGCGCGGCCCACGGACTACCTGCCTGATTACGTGGGGTGCGGGAAGCAGCGCAGCGGGCTTGCTACAAACGCAGAGAAGGGCCCCAGTCCAGACCTGCTGGAGCTGAAGCTCTGGGAGAGGGCTGTGGAATGCGGATTCGAAACAAGCCTCCTGGGTAATTCTGACCCTAACCTTTGAGAGGCCTGATCTCAAAGCGGCATCAAAAGCCGAGGTCTCTGGGCGTCCCCC